ACTGCTCAAAGTCATGTGGCAGTGTGGGCTGACCCGAAAGACACGCTAAAATCCATTTCATTTACCACTGATTATGTGTGGGTGTATACTGTTCTTGAAGTAGCAGCGTGTTGGTTCTGAATATATAAAGAATTAGTCATATATTAAACTTTAAAGAAATGTGACCCAAGTTGGTTTTTAAAAATAAAACATGTCATGGACATATCAAGTTCTTTTGGAAAAGCTTACTTAGAATGCTCACACTAATTTGGGATACTGTTTGCTTACCGTAATATTATTTTAAGAATGTTATTTAGCCCTGGCTGGTTTGGCTCAGCAGTTAGAACATGAGTCGCAGGTTTGATTCCAATTAAGGGCATATACTTTGGTTGCTGTTCCTCCCCGGCCCTGGTTGGGTCATGCAGGTGGCAACCAGTCGATGTGTCTCTCTCACATTGATGTTTCTCTCTTTCTCTCACACCCTCCCACTCTAATGATAAATGGAAAAATATCTTCAGGTGAGGAATTAAAAAAAAAGTGTTAAAGTGTTTTCACTTGAAAAATGTTTTCACTAGGCTATGATCAGAGTTAAGACCTTCTCCCAACTTCTGTTCATTGTCCAAGATTTCAAGTTTTTCCTTTACCTTGATTTTGAAAAATTTAAGACATGCAGTTGGATGCGTTTGGGGGCAAACGCTAACCTGTTTCACTCCCGCTGTGTGCTTCTGGGACCATTACTGTGCTGCTCTCCCAGTCCAGGCCAATCCCATCACCCGGAAAGTCCTCTCACGCCCTCCCAGTCGCTGACCTTCCAGTCAATCACTCTGTTTTGAGGATGAAATTGAAAAACAAAGATGGTTTTTTTCTGTTCTAATCTATTGTCCACACCAACATAATTATGTCTCTTTCTCTCTCTCTTCATTCTTATTGCTCTAGCTGCCTGGAAATTTGTTGGATTAAAATACTGAAATGCTTATAGTTCTACTCACTAGAAAGAAGTGAACATGCCTCACGACTTGTCTGTTCTTTCTCAGTGACCTTTCACTCCTCTGCCTCTGAAATCCCCACCCATCCACCCATCCACCCATCCATCCACCATCCATGTATCCATCCATCCATCCATCCATCCATCCATCCATCCATCCTCCATCCATGTATCCATCCATCCACCCATCCATGTATCCATCCATCCACCCATCCATCCACCCATCCATCCATCCACCCATCCACCTGTCATCCATCCACCCATGTGTCAATCCATCCACCCATCCACCCATCCACTCATCCACCATCCATCCATCCATCCATCATCCATTCATGTATCTACCCATCCACCCATCCATGTATCCATCCATCCATGTATCCATCCATCCATCCATGTATCTATCCATCCACCCACCTATCTATCCATCCATCCATCCATCCATCCACCCACCTATCCATCCATCCATCCATCCATCCATCCATCCATCCATCCACCCATCAATCCACCCATCAATCCATTTATCCATCCACCCATCCATCATCCATCTACTCACCCACCCTCCTATTCATCCATCCATGTATCTATCCATCCACCCACCTATCCATCCATCCATCCATCCATCCATCCATCCATCCATCCATGTATCCATCCATCTACCCACCTATCCATGTATCCATCCATCCATCCATCCATCCATCCATCTATCCATGTATCCATCCATCTACCCACCTATCCATGTATCCATCCATCCATCCATCCATCATCCATCTACTCACCTGCCCACCTATCCATCCACCCACCCATCCATCCATCCATCCATGTATCCATCTATTCATTCATCCACCTATCCATCACCCATCTACTCACCCACCCACCTATCCATCCATCCATGTATCCATCTATTCATTCATCCACCTATCCATCATCCATCTACTCACCCACCCTCCCATCCATCCATCCATGTATCCATCCATCCATCCATGTATCCATCTACTCATTCATCCATCCATCACCCATCTACTCACCCACCCACCTATCCATCCATCCATGTATCCATTTACTCATTCATCCATCCATCATCCATCTACTCACCCACCCACCCACCCACCTACCTACCCACCTACCCATCCATCCATCCATCCATCCACCCACCCATCCATGTTCCATCCATTCACCCATCCATGTATCCATCCATCCATGTATCCATCTATTCATTCATCCACCTATCTATCATCCATCTACTCACCCACCCTCCCATCCATCCATCCATCCATCATCCATCCATCCATCCATCCATCCATCCATCCATGTATCCATCTATCCATCCATCCATCCATGTATCCATCTACTCATTCATCCACCCATCCACCCATCCATCATCCATCTACTCACCCACCCACCTATCCATCTATCCATCCATCCATCCATCCATCCATCCACCCACCCACCCACCCACCCACCCTTCCATGTATCCATCTACTCATTCATCCACCCACCCACATATCCATCTATCTATCCATCCACTCACCCACCTACATACCCGTCCATCTATTCAATCACTGTTGAATGTCTACTGTGAGCTACCAGGAATCCCACCTCCACTTGACTTATGATCTAACAGGAAGACAAACAATTTAACAATTCTGCTAAAAAGACAACACATATTACAGTGGGGAAATATGAGGCACAGTGGGAGATTCAGGAGGAGCAGCTGTGGGTGATTCTCAAGGGGAGAGACAGTGATGGAGCATGTAGAACAAAGCTTAGTAAGTCAATTCATCATCTCAGGAATATTTACTGAGTGTGCAGGCTGGGCATGGCGGCTGCCACTATGGATCCAGACAGAAGGACTGACCTGGGCCTGCCCTCGTGGGCTGCGTATCGTTGTGGAGTTAGCCCAGGCTGGGAGGGGCAGTGAGTGGGGCAATGTTCTAGGCAAAGAAACCATGGGTAACAGTATATAGGAAAGAAAGACCCTGGTGCGTTAGAAACCCTGAAAATGGCACTTAACCAGAATATGAATGTCAGCCAGAGGGGTGCCCTACTGGTCCTGAAAGAGCGAGCTGTGAGCAGCAACCCCTGGGCCCTCCTTTGAGGAGCAGAATGGTCACGGAATCTCTAATCAGAATCCGAATGCAGACTCCACATCTCAGTCACTTGCAAATCAGTTCCTTCTTTCCTAAACAAGGCCTCCATTTAAATGACCTTTGATCTTTCGCCAGCTGGGGGGAGGGAGTGTGAAGAGGAGGCCTGTGAGCGAGGTCCGCCCACCTGATGGCGCTGTAACGCTCAGATGTGGCTGGAAGACAGCCCACAGGGATGGCCTACTTGAAAAAAACTCCCTGCATGTCCTGCTTTTGCATCGGAAGGCGGGGAAATGGGGGAAGAAAGAGTGTTTCTTACTGATACTCTAAACTTCTGCCCAAAGAATTTTAAGGTAAATTACTTATGTGTAGTTTTCATTTGAATTGCTGAGCTTGAGATGTGTGTTACTGCACAGGCACTTGGTATATGGAGGCCAAGAGTCCACAGGGTTCTGCAGAGCTTAGCCCCGACTCATCTCTGGTCCTAACATGTCCATACAGTGTACTTGACTCTTTGCAATTTAATATTTAATGAACCTGTTTACTTTGTAGTGAGTGCGGCACATTTCTCCTGCAATTAAAGTTCCCTGAGCACCGGAGTCTCCTGTGGGCACTCACTCACACGCCTGCACACGTGCCGATTGCGCATCCCAACATTCCCTGCTGCACGAACATGAGGCTTGCCCGCTGTTCACCACCCTTCACTGGGTGGAGCACCTGTTTCAGGGGCTCATCTCTGCTTGGCTGGCCTTAAGCTACTTACTGTCAGGTGAGAAATACATTCTATCAAAACCTATTTAAGAGACACGTCCCATCTGCGGCAAAGGTGTTCTGCACAACCCTGCAAAAGTGTCTGTCATTTCTGCATTTTACTGAGCCCTCTCACAAGCAAGGCCAAAGAGACACGGGAGTCCCAGGCAAGCTCATGATTGAGGGCCTTCCTGTCCGTCAGCCTGGGGACCAGCGACTGAGCACCGTTGGTATCGGAACCTCAGCTGAGACTGCCCCATATACCTGCCACAGGGCAACTTATCAGACATTATCCAGAAGGAAGAGGTTTGCTGATCCGTCGTGATTTCTGCTCTCGGGTCTGCTGGCGTCACCGGCACATTCCCTCGGTTGTGGGAGGGGACCTGCTGGGAGTCCGGTGTAACTGACCACACTTCTCACCCTGATTCCAGGGTTATTTATGAAATAGGATTCCGGACCCCAAGCTTCACAAGCCACTTGTGGTCATCGCTGGGCTCCCAGCCATTCAAAAGGACAATAAATGACAGCCCCTCCTCCCTGGTGGTCAATTCGCGGATCTGTGCTCAGTCATCAGACTGGACAGATGGGACTGAAGTGCAGATTTTGCCAACATGTTTAAGCCTCAAATACACGGGGCTGTGAATGCGCTCACGGAGGGAGAGGAGCAGCGGCCTTTGTGGACAATGATTAATGTTCACCTCGATCAAGACGAAGGCCATTTGCCGGAGTTCAGCAAATCGATCCCGGGTGAGGTGCCTTGTTGGGCACAGAGAGCCCCCCTCCCCCCGTGTAAGAAGAGTTCCCCGTGAAAGGTGCCTGGAATTCAGACAGGGGCTTCCAGACAGACTCCGGACCAGGTCCCAGGGGCGTTTTTCTAACACCAAAGAGCACCTTTGGAATTCACAGCCACAAATGTTGCTGTTTAGGGGGGTGCCGGTGGAGAGGGTTCCCCATCAGTGTCCTCTGCTGGACAAGAGAAACAGACTTCGATCTGAGTTTCCTCCGTTGTCCCCTTTACTGAGTGACATAAGTCAGTGTGGTTGACCCTCCGGGAACCACAGCTGAGAAGCAGCAGTTTCTAACCGCAAACTGGTGAAGGAATGTGTCCTCCCAAGACGGAGGGCATCTAAGGGTTCACAGACTGATCGTTAGAAAGAAAGGGACAAACAGGTCACTTTTCCATAAGGGCATGTTGTGTTGGTTTATTATAGAATGCGGTTAAAAAATAGTCTGAGGTTGGCCTCTCCAGTTTAAAAGCACTTGACCAGGAACACTTGGATCTAGGCGACGGTCTCTCCTGCACCTGCCCCCACCCCCAAGTACTGTAAACAGGGTTTTGAGAACATTCATTTCTTGATAGGAACAACCGAACCTATTCACTCCTTAAGGAGAAGCACCTTCCCAGCTTCCAAAGCATGCACTGTTACTTGGCATTAGGTATTTCAAAAGGACAAACTTTGTTATGGTATTTTAAGGCCAAAAGTTAATACCTGTTTACCAGACATACACATGACAACGAGGAAAAAGTCACAGACGTTGACTGAGTGTACCAGTTCCATCGGGAATGAGTGGGGAAGGCACTGTGTCCCTCACGTCACCGCACACCCCCCGTCCACTCACATGCTTTGAATTCAAGTCCCGTCAAACACCGTAATGGTGTTTTCTATGACACACGAGTCCAGGCGGTTACTACAGCTCACTGTTCTTCCAGGCCACGTGTTTTCACCCGAGAGCACAACAGGTATGGATAATACACCATCAGCTTTATTTACAAGTTCATCTCCATGTTTTAGCAGAGTAAAGAAAAAACAAATCAACTGTCCTAACCAATAATTCCCAACGGTTTTGGCTGTGACTCATGATAAACCACCATGTGAAAGAAACAGATGAGACCGCTGTGCGGCCCGGACCCCTCAGCTGACATGCCTCACCCCCTCGAAGTTGGCAGTGAAACTGCTGTTCTCTGATTTCGGAAGCGAACCCCCACGGAGGGGCGGCCGATGGGCTTCAGTCCACGCAGGCTCCACGCGCGCCAGGCGGTGCCCACGGGCGGGCTCCGGGCACGGCCACACAGTGCTGTGTGAGGAGTCGAGGATCTAGAAAGGCGCCAGCTTCCAAATGCTCTCCTATCGTCCCAAAACATGCAGAACACGAGGGTGGAGCTCTACGGACAGAGGTTAGTTCTGGAGCTCGGGAATACACATGCACGGCCGCGGGGAGGGGCGGGGGAGCCCTGGTTTGCACACTGCACTGTGGTTCTCACCACCTTCCTGCCTCAGACACTTCGTGGTCACGAGGTGCCTCTCCCACCAGGAGAGGGTCCCCCTGGAGGGCTGCGTGGGAATGGACCCGGGTCCCGGACCCACTGACCAGCCTGCCCTTGGCAAACACAGAACCCACCGGAAAAGAACAAGTACAAACACTATCATTATCGGGTTTTCTCGAGTGTCCTTGTGCGATCACTCCAGACGCAGTGATGGGCCCAGGACATTCCCGGGACCACGGACAGTGATGTGCAGGATCAGAACCAGGACGCAAAGCCTGGACCCTCTTCTGAGCAACGTGAACTGGCACCTCCACCACCGTGATCACGGCTGCCAAGTCGTGACCGGCCACGTTCACAGTAAAACATTCCTTCCCGTGAATATGAGTTGGAATTCTTCGTCCGGGGGCCGGTTCAGCTTAAGTGGATAGGTGTGTACTCCGGCCTTCTGGTCTGGATGATCTTGGGTTTGGGTCTCTTCATTCTTTCCATCTCGTCCTCGTTCTCCTGGTCACTCTCACACACGTGGACCACCACGCTGGGAGTGGTGTCGGTCGCTGCGTGCAGTTCATACTTCTCCCCTAGAGAAAGAGATGAGCCTCAGGGTAACTGGGGCAGCAGCAAAGGAGCCACAAAGCCGGGGCACATGGAAAGGCACCTGGGGCCTGACTGCCAAGCGTCCGGGCACTCTCAGTGGGAACTGAGGGACCAGCCAGGCACGCTCTGGACCAGCATGTCTCCTCCTCCTCTGCTTGTGGCCAGGGAAGGTGCTTCTACTCATAAAAAAGATGGATGCCTTGTCTCTATCGCACAGGTGCGACTGGATGTGACTGTAACTGCGATTGAAAGGTGCAAGAGTGTCATCTGTCAGGGGAGAGTCACGGCGGAGGGTCAGACAGATCACTCGGGACCTTGGCCAGGATGCTCGTGGCGAATCCTAGCAACCTACCCGTCACTCACAACCCAGGGAGGCGGGTGTGGGGCCGTATCTGCACAACCTCTGCCGTTTCCTAGGCTGCGAAGCACAGCCGAGACATCAAACACCCTAGTCAAGCTCATTGTTAAGTGAGTGAAGGTCAAACTGATTCTATGATACCTATTTTCTTAAAAAGCTTCTCAAATAAGCCTTCTGCAAAGCAGTGGTGGATTCTAGAGTGTGAGGAATGGCCCTGGCCAGTTTGGCTCAGCGGTCGAGCGTGGGCCTGCGGACCACAGAGTCCCGGGTTCAGTTCCCGCTAGGGGCACGTACCGCAAAAAAAAAAAAGAGTGTGAGGAATTGTCGTCAGCAGTCTGACACTGCTCCCCGCAGAGACCCCGACTCCTCCTGCTCTAGCCCCGGGGACTCCAGCCCTCGGCTCTGCTGACCGCCTTGGCCAGGGGCTGCCAGGAGGAGCACACGCCTCAGACGGGCCACGTCCACCTTGACCTTCGCGCGCGATCAGCAGTAACGTGATCTGTGCTTTTCCACCACAAAGGAGACTCTAGTCTGGGCGATGTTTTCAGAAATGTAATCTTTCCAATATGAAACTGCTGATGGTTCAAGAAATTAAAACCCTCCACCCAAAGGGACATCCGATCGCTGGTTGAGGGGAAACAAGGAGCTCATGGTCTCAGCATGTCCATTTGCGGCATGGATCAGGCAGGAGGGGGGCTCACACCTCTTCCCCCCAAAACCCCCTCACACCTGCTTCCTCACCGGAACCGCTATCTGACAGGCCAGGAACCACTAACATTTTATTGTTCCCCCAAAACATGAACTGAGTGCTGTCTATGGGCCAGGCACTACTGGAGTTGCTTTTTTTTTTTTTTTAATCCTCACACGAGGATATTTTTCTATTTATCTTCAGGTAAAGAGAAAGACAGAGACAGGGAAAGAGGGAGAAACATAGATGTGAGAGAGACACATCGACTTCTTGCCTCTAGTACGACCCCGACCAGGGCCGGGGACAAAACTCAACCAAGAAACGTGCCCTTGGCTGGAATCGAACCCAGGACTCATTGGTCCCCAGGCTGAAGCTCTAACCCTGAGCCAAACTGGCCAGGGCTGGAGTTGCCTTTTACTGGATGAGCTCACATACCGCTCACAAGTGCACGGGGGATCGACACCCGTTTCGGAGGGGGAGCCGGGGCGGGCGCCGGTGTCCCCAGTGCCCACAGCGGTTCCCGCGGAGGGCTGGGGCCTCCGCTGTCTCGGGTGGGCTCCGTGGGCGCAGCCTGGGGGAGGGGCTCTTTTCGCTGCATCCCTCCCACACCGAAAAGGGCTGTGCGAATCGATCAATGGACAGAACTGCCTTCTCTGAACATTTCTAAAGGTGTGTGTGTGTGTGTCTGTTCCCTTCCATAGGCCAACTCTCATCCCCACCAGGAGCGACAGGACCTGGGTCTTCAGCAGCCCACCCAGACCGTGCTCAGTGGGCGAGGGGGTGGAGTCACGTGATGCAGGCCAGGAGGGGTCGGTGTCGGTCCGGGGTCGGTCCAGGAATGAAGCCAGAGGCAGGCCCGCAGCCTCCCGCACGGTTCCGCCGAACGGAAGATGCAGACGGAGCCGGTCCACACCGCGTCAAGCCCACGGGTGGGAGGACAGGGGGTCAGCCCGCCCCGCCCGAGGGCCGCTCACCTGGCCCGAGCTTGGAGATGGCGTATAACAGATCGTAGTTGATGACCGGGGTGGCGTCTTCCACTTGCTTCCAGCCCACGGGCGGCGAGGCGGGAGGGGAGATCAGGAACTGCTTGTCGGGGTTCGGCGGGGCCAGGTGGGAGCTCCCGATGTGGAGAGTCTGGGGGGAAGGAAGACGGGCAGATGCGGCAGCGCGGAAGGACACCCGAGAACGCGGGAGTGAGGGGCTGCGTGGCAGGGCGGCGCACGGTCTCAGGGTGTCAGCGCTGGCTCCGGGGTGACCGTGACTGGAGCCCGCCCAGGGCCGGGACTCACGGTACTCAAGCTCCACCGAAACGGACGGAAAATGAACAGAGGCGGCCTTTGTGTCAGTGGAAAAACTAAAGCCGCTGTCGTCAGGGTCAGGATGAATCCAGAACCCCCTCCTCCCAGCTCCCTCTACGGGAGGCAGAACCGGGTCAGGATGAATCCAGAACCCCTTCCTCCCAGCTCCCCCTACGGGAGGCAGAACCGGGTCAGGATGAATCCAGAACCCCCTCCTCCCAGCTCTCCCCACGGTAGGCAGAACCGGGTCAGGATGAATCCAGAACCCCCTCCTCCCAGCTCCCCCTACGGGAGGCAGAACCGGGTCAGGATGAATCCAGAACCCCCTCCTCCCAGCTCCCCCTACGGGAGGCAGAACCGGGTCAGGATGAATCCAGAACCCCCTCCTCCCAGCTTCCCCTACGGGAGGCAGAACCGGGTCAGGATGAATCCAGAACCCCCTCCTCCCAGCTCTCCCCACAGGAGGCAGAACCGGTTTCGGAGGCGGAGGCGGCTCCAGGCTGATGCTGGTCCCAGGACCCCGCCCACCCAGCGAAACCCCTCCTCTGGGCTCTGAATCAGATGCCAAAAGTGAGGAAGGAGATAAAATAATAACAACAAGGAAAAATAACCTACGATCCCAGTTTGAGGTTAATAAGTTCTACCAGTGATTAGAGGGCTGACCAGAAAGATCCTAATCAAAATCTCACCAGTTTGGGTTTTCTGTGTCCCCATGCCCCCCCGCCCCCCAATTTGCACAATGCATTTACTTGAATAATCAGAAAAGGTCGGGGAGGGCTAAGCAGTTTTTATACGAACCCCACCAAACGCTGAAAGGAGCTATTGTTCACAACTAAGCACCCTGAGTCAAAACCTGCGCCCCGTACACACCACTAGGGGGCAGGGACGGGCGTTCCAGCGAGTTCGCCTCTTCTGCTGTCAGGAAACTTCCCTAGAGGGGGGCTGCTCCCAGACTGGTGAACGCAGAGCCCCATGGGGCTCCCTTTACCAGGGAGCAGCACCCGGAAAGCTCCTTCCCCGCCCCACCAGCCCATTAGGCCCCGTTACACCTTCACGTGGAACTCGCGGGGCGGGCCCTGGAAGGGGGGTTGGCAGGAGGAAGGGCAAACCCAGCTCTGCACTGGCTGCCTGTGCCGAGGTGCGCGCCCAGCTTCAGACCACAATTCGCGGAGGGAGCACCTGCCCAGAGCCACGCTGGTCTGCCGCGTCTGGGCCCTGGAGCAGATTCACCGACACCCACTGCACAAACCCTGGGGGCCCAGTGGCCACGCCCACCCCCTGCAGGCTCCAACCTTTCTCCAGCCGTGCCCTACCCAACCCTTTAAAACACTCCCGGTGTTTTCTGAAAACAGGGGAGACGTGGCACATCTAGAGGATGAACTGGCCTTTCTCGGGATGAATTCCTGGAGTTTGAAATCAGGGTAGGTTATCACGGCAGGGAGCTCCTTTTCCAACAGGGCGGGAGGGGGAAGGGAGGAGCAAGGGTAGCGGTGACCTGCACTCACCTGAGCAAAGTACAGCTTCATCTCCTTCCCGAGAAACTGGGTCTTGTGCAGCTGCAGCCTGGCGTCTGCCGCAGACAGGGGGCTGCTGAAGTTTATTCTCACCCGTTTGAAGCTCTTGAAGTACTGGAAGGTGATGTCCTTGTCATATGTCCTAAAGAGAGATTCAAACTTGGCCTGGAAGACAAAAATGAAAGGAGTTAAAATTTACCTCCACAGGATCCTTGAGTAGATGGCTTGGTGGCATTTCTTATGGGGACAGCGGATCCTTCAACATCTCCAGAGCCCCTCGCTTCTCGGAGAAGACCGAGTTTCTGCCCCTTTCCCTCTAACAGAGGATTTTATAAGAAAGGAAGAATGGATGACTCACTACATCCACTTCACCGGTGGACAGTGGCTCACACTTAAACCACTTCTTTTGGTCACAGAAACATTCTTTTTAACGTAGAATGAGCATTTGCAAAGAGATACCCTCTGGTCACCTGTCACCCCTCAGCCTGAGGGGTGGTTCCTAAGAGCAGTGACCTTCCCCAGCCTGGTGAACTCCATTCCCACTCAGCTTAGGGACTCGTTCAAGTCCATCAAATGTTCCTTCAGGGCTTAGAAGCATGCTGCTCATCGGAGAAAACCGTCTTTGTTGAATTGGAAAACAATGACGTTAATAAGAAGCCTTGCACTTTCTAATGTAAAGGACTGGGGTTAAAAATGCTCCCACTATTGTTTTCTCACCCAACCTGTTGCTCTTTAACTCTCAGAAACAATCCTGGTCTAAAGCGAGTGGGCTGCGTGCCGGCTCCGATCTGCCTGGGCAGCGGCAGTGCTGCAGGGCTCACGGGAAGGGTGAAACCGAATGAGCTCCCAGAACTGACTTGCCAAGTTCAGTGACTACATGTTGAGGTTCAGGACAGAGCTCATCAGCCCCCTGGACAGGCTCTGAGCGAGCCCCCTGGGTGGGAGTTATCAGTAGGGCTGTTGTTGGGGGTGGGGCCTGACCGTCCAGGGCAGGATTCCAGCCAGAGGGGGAGTCGATGAATAGGAAAGCTTTGTGTGTTTTGGCTGACAGGGTGGGGGGCAGCGCGCCTTCCGCAAGGGTGAGTGATGCCCGGAGGAGGCAGCCCCACAGCAGCCTGGAAGGCAGTGTTTCTGCAGAGGGGAGAGAAGAGCATCTTCAGCTTGAGTATTTGGAGCTGGGAAGCGGGGAAGGAACGGGCCTCCGGGGCTTGTCTGCTCCGCAGGGCAGGGCTGCGGGTGGGGGGGTGCCAGCCGCCCGGGGAACTCTACCGGGCAGGTTTAAGGGGGAGTGGAACAACTCAAACTTTCACTCTTCAAATCCCCTGGCTTTTCTTGAGTTTTTGAAAACCTGTGACTTTCCCATGAGGCTGTTGCAGAGGCAGAGACTGAGAAAGTCGCCCTGGGCTTCTCGCGCCCCGTCTCTCAGGCCGGGCAAGTTCCGGGCACCGGGTGTCGGCATGGATTTGGTTTCGCAAGCCCTCGTTAATAGGCATTGTGACTAACTGCTCAATTGTGAAGTTATGATTCATAATTCAGGAGAGATGACTTTGACGGATATTTTTAGAGTCACGTCCGGGCTCAGGACCAGAACACGGGGAATGCGCGCAATCGGTTTCGTCCCTGCTGCTGTCGGAGCCCTCTCATAAACACTCTTATCTGTTCTCATAACTCGCGTCCAGTCACTGCGGCTGCTGGACGGCATCCCTGCCTCACCAAATAGAGCAGCAGCCTCACTCACAGGAGGCTAACAGTAAACACACGTTGGACTTTTACGCACAGAATCTGCTGTAATACCTCGTTCAAATACGGCAGCCCTGGCAAGCACAGTTCACATTATGGAGTTTAATTTGATTTAAAAAAAATAAAGTAACCTTCACACATCCCCATATGGCTTCAAGTATAAAGGACGTAACACGAACACCACCCCCAAACAGAACCTACACAATTCACTCATGTACAATACTGATAAAGATCAATGACGCAGCTGGGTAGGTACTGACGGAAAACCTTACATATTAATCAGATGAAGAAGAACGCTGTAGCAATGCAAATGACCAACTATTAATCACCAACATCGAGAGCTGCTTCCCAGGAGGGACACTCACCCCACACTTAAGTTATTTTTCCAGTTTTATTCTCTGTTGTGGCTGCGTTTTCTCAAGCTAGACAAACCTGGAATTACTACAAACGCACAAATACCTTGACAGCATTTATTTCCTAAGATAAAATCAATTTATCCCGAACTCTAGATGCCAAAGTGAAACATTCTGTTCACTGAGACACCTCTTCTGCAGTGGTTCTCAGCCTTCCTGATGCCGTGACCCTTTAATGCAGGTCCTCACGTTGGGGTGACCCCCAACCATAAAATTATTTTCATTGCTACTTCATAACTGTAACTTTGCTACTGTTATGTCTTAGGCGACCCCTGTAAAAGGGTTGTTCGACCCCCAAAGGGGTTGCGACCCCCAGGGTGAGAACCGCTGAAAGTCTTCACCCCAGTGGAAAACACAGTGCCTGGAGTCGGCCCCAGCTGGTCAAGGGACCTGGGCGGGTTCAAAACTGAGAGCTTTAAAAATCCCTTCACAGCCTTTCCCTCAGGCGACAGCTCGGGGTATTTAAGGCTCAAAGTATCTTGGATTTATTTCAAAAACCCCAGACCCACAAGAGAGCCACAGACCCGAGCCCCACTATCTCAGTTAGCAGTCCCAATCAACGTAATGCTTTGAACACTCGCAAAAAAATCAGTGGAGGAGAAGCCTTACCCTGGTTTCACTTTCGCTGAAGATCTCACTGTTTGCCACACAGGCAACCAAGGAGCTAAAGCTGTAGTTAAAGTTTCTAAAATGCATCTTGCCTGCTCCCAGCGAGCGCGGGAGTCGCCGCCCCAGCCAGGGAGGTCCCTCTGCGAGAGGCTGGGGCTGCGCGCGGAGCCCCGCTTATAAGGCAGCCGGTCCAGCCCCCGGGAGCGAGCGGGGCATCCTGTTTGGACAGCGAATTCCTGAGTCAAGGCCGCGAGCTGGAGGCAGACAGGGACACAGTGTGAGCTCCTGCTGGAAAGAGGTGACGTCAACAGCTGAGTCATCTTCCCTATGCTAATGAGCCGGGCCGGGAGGATGGAAACCGCCCGTGCGCGCAGCTGCTCCGCGGCCGGCCCGGCGGCATAATTTCCACTGCGAGTCACTCCATTCAGCGCTCAGCTCGCTCCGGCCCAGGCTGAACGGGACGCCCTCCTCGGCATGGAAAATGTTACCCAAGAAAAGGAGGAAGGGCCGAAGCGAACTGTAATTAGCCTCCGGGGACTTTTCCAGGCTCTGGGAAACCTGAAACCAGCCTTGGCCGGTTGTGTGATTCCTGTCACTTCCTGAAAAAAACCCATCAAAGTTTCAAATTGGGGTATTAGAGGGAACATCTGAAATCTGTCTTGGTCAATGAACACTGTTTTTTGTTTTGCTTTTTTCTTGTTTAAGTGGAATTCGTTTTGAAATACAGATTTTTTTTTTCTTTTTTCCAATTGAACTTTATTGGGTGAATGTCCTAATTCCCACTTGGATCCCACGGTGGCTACAAGGGAAGGGGATCCTTGTGCAATGGCAGGGTTTTCCCTGGAAAACGTCTCTGTTGTAATTTGAGAACTAGGAGTCTGCAACACTTTGATCCTTTTCTAACAGCGAATGAGTTCAGAGAAAGCTACAAAAACATTTTCGAGAATCTAGTGTCTGAAGTTGGGAAAAGAAACATTAAGAGGTCATCCTGCTTTGAGGATCACAGACTAAAAGGTTTTTTTTTTTGGTACGTGCCCCTAGCGGGAACCGAAGCCGGGACTTTCTGGTCCGCAGGCAGACGCTCCAACCGCTGAGCCAAACCAGCCAGGGCTAAAAGGTTTTCGTTTGCTTGTTTTCATAGGGAAGGATGAAACAGCAGGAAGAATGTCCACTCCAGTTGAAGAGCTGGTCCGACTGCCTGTCTGCAGGTCAGTGTCGAGATGGCTTGAACTTCTAGCCACATGGGTGGTTTAGGTCCTTATGTTAGCCTGGGTCCTGGGTCCTCCCCTCTCTCCTCAAATTCATTATCTCTCAAAAGCATTCTCTAGTCTAGAGCCACACAGAGACACCATTGAAGCTTCCAAAAGTTAAAGCAACCCTACCATTCACATTTAAAGATTAACTTCAAAGAATCATTAACGTCAGCCAATAATAAAAAGAATACATGCAACCGGAAAACACAAGCCGGAACATGAGCTCCTCCAAAGGAGGGAAGGGGAGTCTCGGATGAAGGAGCCTTGTTGAACTTCAAGGCTTGGTGCTCCCTGCCAACTGGAGTTATGGAAGAAACCAGGTATGGTGTTTGCTTTGCCAAATTACCCAAACTCCCAACCCGAAAATACCTAAATGCATATATTCTAAAAAAAGTTTGGAACACCGTGAACGGTACAGTACGCATCAAACACCACGGGGAAACGGGCACAGTGGACGGTGCTTGGATTGTGCCGACTCATGGCGTGTCCTGGAGGCGCACGGACTTGGGTGGTGTTGCGGGTGGTGTGGGTGTGGTAGGTGTTGGGGGAGCCTGAGGGGACAGGAGGAAGAGGCTGGACACGGAACTGCCCTCCACTCCTGCAGAGGGGCTGGACCTTCCCCAAGTGTCCTCCGTCCCCTTCCTGGAGCCTCCTCTGGCAAACAGTCGAAAGGATCAGAGGAGGGAGAAGGGGCTAGTTTCGCTGTCTTCTTTATAAACCGCCATGACAGGAAGTTCAGTTGTGGGGCAGACCTGGGGCATTTCTGTTCACCTGAGACAAGGGTGCTGGGCTCACCCACACTTGCAGCGTTGGCTGCGTGGAAAGAAAGAAAGAATAGTGAGGTATCCGGAGGTTGTTCAACTGTCTCTGCTCAGAGAAACACATGATACATGACTGATGTTCACTGGGCTGCCCCAAAGTTTAACAAAACGTGTCAGCCTGGCCGCTGTGGCTCAGTGGCTGAGCGTCGACCCTGCACCAAGAGGTCGCTGGTTCGATTCCCGGTCAGGGCACATGCCCAGGTTGTGGGCCCGATCCCCAGTGGGGGGCGTGCAGGAGGCAGCCAATCGATGTTCTCTGTCATCGATGTTTCTGTTGTCCTCTCTCTCCCTTCCTGTCTATCTAAAATCAATAAAGAAAAAAAATTGCA